GACCTAGAGCTAGAGCTTGATGCAACAGAACTCGCATCAAATATAAGTGTAGCTGATAAATTTAATATGTTCTTTGTAAATAACATAGACAAAATAGTTTAATCTATGGAAAAGGGAGGAGACACAAATAGTAATATAATATATGAAAATGAGCAATGGTTCGACGATTTCAAACCCATCGATATAGTGGAACTACGGAAGATAATAAGTAAATTACCAAAAAAAAAAGGGAACGGAAGAATGAATATCAAATAGTATATTAAAAGCAGCTAAGGACATTATTCAAGATAAGTTAATGAATGTTATTAATATCTCATTTAAAAAGGACAATGTCCAGGTGACTGGAAAACGTTTACCATAGTACCCATAACAAAAGTGCAGAAACTAAAAAATGGTAGTAACTTCAGGCCAATCAACATGTTGCCGAATTGCCGATATACAAAGAAGTACTGGAAATAGCAGTAAAACATAGACTAGTAGAATATCTAGAAACAAATAGTAAAATTACTCATGTGAAACCGCTATACAAAGTATTATTGATGATTGGAAAGTGACAGATAGTAAAGGTAAACTAATAGGTGCATTGTTTTTAGATTTAAAGAGAGCATTTGAAACAATAGACAGACAGAAGTTACTTTATAAGTTATATTAATTATACTAATTATATTAGTTATATTAATAAGTTATATTAATATCATACAGGAGGAAGGGTACTTAATTGGTTAGAGACGTATCAAGATAAAAGACATCAAAGAATTAAATTTAATAATTTATGGTCCACAAAAGTGGAAACAAAGTATCAGGTACCACGGGGATCAGTATTAGGCCCGTTGCTATTTATCATATATGTTGTGACGTATTTTTACGCGATCGACCTCACCATGCAAGACCGACCGGCGCACACCTTTACGCGATTCCTACGCGTTCCAGGCTTGCGACAATTAATTATTTTTATCTCTTGTGGACAATTTGTACAGCTCGGTCCTACGAAGAGTAACATTCGTTCTTGTGCGAGGGTGCACCAGGCGTCCCTGCATTCCCAACTCGCGGAAATATAATTATGCGCAAACTGACGATGGGCGCTATGCCATAGGGGTCGGTAGTGGTGCTCAGTCGGGTGGCGCTGTGTACGCCGCTTCCAGTCGTCGTGGTTGAGTACCAGCTGAGTAGAGCGCGTTGCTGCCGCGTGACGTCAATCCTGTCCCGCGTTGCGCGCGCCTCCTGGGCCAGTAGACCTGCTGTCCACAGATAGCGCGAGTGTCGACCCTCGCGTGTCGCAGCTCCCTTCCTCCAGGTACTCCAGCTGGCTCCCTCTCTCTCGTTCTCCGCGTCTTCACGGGCACGGCGAGCGAGCACCTATTCAAACTCCGGCAGAGTACACGCAAAACAAAAGAAAATAATAAAATAATCTATCGAACTTTCAATTAGGCCCTTGCGGTCGGTGGATCCTGCCTGGACTTTGCAATGGCCTTTCGGCCCGTATCGCGTTTCGGCGTGATTTTCCGCCGAGGACAAGACGGGTGAAATCCACCACGTCACAACAACCCTCCCCCAGGCGGGAACTCACGCGGTAAACGATTGTGAGCGATTCTTGACAGTCCGATTGCTGTCGAACGACTCGAAACTACCGCGAATCCAGGCACGTCAATCCACCTTCCGGCCGAGCTCTTCGGCCCCATCAGGGCAGTTCAATCGGTTTCTTTCCTTTATCGTGGACCATCACCAGACACATAAGGAAATTCAGTACAACACAAATTACTAAACTTATTCGCTGCCTTCAGTCGATTTAGGACCTTTTCTAGCCATACGAGAGGTTCATCGAAGGTCTTTGTCGCGATGATAATATCATCTAAATACGCGAATGCGTTTCCACCCATCTCCGGACCGATGATTCTATCCGCAAGACGTTGAAAATTCGGCGGGGCTCCCGAAAGCCCAAATGGCATCCCGATATAATGGAAGAGTCCTCTTCCCGGTACTACGAACGCGGTATACTCCCGACTCCCGGGATCTAAAGCTACCTGATGGTAAGCCTGTTTCAGATCAATCGTGGAGATATAATGCGCTGACCGTAACTGATCGAGAATACCTGTCAAATTTGGCAGGGGATACGCGTCTCTCTTCGCGACATCGTTTAATTTCCTAAAGTCCAAACACATTCGATACGATCCGTTCGATTTCTTAACCATGACTATCGGGTTGGTCCATTCGCTCGACGACTGTTCGACAACTCCGTCCGCGAGTAACTCGTCGAGCTGACGATGCATTTCCTGCTCGATTATCGGCGATACGGGATAATTTCGCTGATGAATCGGCGCGTGCCCCTGCACATCTATTTTGTGCGTCGGCCCTTGCGGTCGGTGGATCCTGCCTGGACTTTGCAATGGCCTTTCGGCCCGTATCGCGTTTCGGCGTGATTTTCCGCCGAGGACAAGACGGGTGAAATCCACCACGTTACAATGTATATGAACGATATAATTAATGTAGCAACGGAAGATTGTACAATAAAACTGTTTGCGGACGATACGATGGTATATGTATATTGTATATGAACGATATAATTAATGTAGCAACGGAAGATTGTACAATAAAACTGTTTGCGGACGATACGATGGTATATGTATATGCAAGGTTACAATATAGAAGAAATAGAAAGCAAAATGAACCTGGTACTGCAAAGGATCGAACACTGGTTGAGCGTTAACAAGCTAAAATTAAATACGCAAAAGACAAAATATATGTTGGTAAGAGGAATAAAAAAGAAAAGAGGTAGGTATATGAACTTAGTAAGTACGTATCCCCCAAAAAATACTTACGTGTAAAAAACTACAGCAAGTACAGGATTGCTGTGAATTCCTCTAACAAAAAGTATTGATATCATATGATTGAGGCCAAGTACATACGTCACTACATGTTTTCCTATTATATGATCTAGCACTGGCCCATCATTTTAATTATATTTTCAATATTTCCTATAACGTTTTCGCTACTTTTTTATGTTACTACTGCTTCCCGTATTTAATTATGATTTAATGGTGATTTAATAATTAAAAAAACTTTAGGTGATTCCTTATCGAGTACTACTTGGCGGGTCCGTGCATTTCTTGATATAAATTTGGTACAAAACCAGTACCAATTTTCTATAGAAAGCATATTAACAATAACTCGTCAAAAATAATCACAGTAAAAGCTTAATAACAAACATACAGCATTAGAATACTATGAGCACGTATAAAGAGTAAGTACTTTGGAATTCCTGGCACGAACCCGCCAAGTAGTACTCGATAAGGAATCACCTAAAGTTTTATTAATTATTAAAACACCATTAAATCATAATTAAATACGGGAAGCAGTAGTAACATAAAAAAGTAGCAAAAACGTTATAGGAAATATTGAAAATATAACTAAAATGATGGGCCAGTGCTAGATCATATAATAGGAAAAAATTTCGTGACTTATGTACTTGGCCTCAATAATATGATATCAATACTTATTGTTAGAGGAATTCACAGCAATCCTGTACTTGGCGTAGTTTTTTACACGTAAGTGTTTTTTGGAGGATATCACAAGTTTTTGTTGCTCAATAGGATATATGAAAAAAGTTTTAAACACTCAAATTTTTATTGTTAAACAAATATAAAATATAAATACATTGCAATGTCACTAATCAGATAAATATATTGCGTTGTCGAAAATGTTAAAAGCCATATAAATGTAATTTATAAATTGATTATTCTTAGAAACACAAAAATATATATAAAATATAATTAAAATGATGGGCCAGTGCTAGATCATATAATAGGAAAACATGTAGTGACTTATGTACTTGGCCTCAATAATATGATATCAATACTTTTTGTTAGAGGAATTCACAGCCATCCTGTACTTGGCGTAGTTTTTTACACGTAAGTGTTTTTTGGGGGATAAGGAGTTGACTCGAGTAAAGAGTCTCGGCGCGCTGCGCCCTGTACAGCCGGTTGCCTGTACTTGGCGCGAGACTCGACCGAGTCTCTTGATCTCCGTCACCCTTCGATTGGGTTCGGGAGTTGCCGCGATGGCTCGGGACTCTTCCGTCAGGTCTCATCGTGGCGAGATGAGCGCCTCGTCATAATAAATACTGAGGTGAACATTTTTATTTGTTAATAGTGATTCATTTAGACTAAATATAATGTTTAAAATTGCAATCAGTATGTCAAACTTTGAGAAAGTTTATCCCGTAGGAGGTTAAAATTAAAAGTTGCATTTAACAATTTCAGGAATGTATTTGAATTGATGTAAAACTGTTTTGTAATATTGTCATAATACATTATAGCGAACAATTTAAAATTTTGATTCTTCTAAATTCAATTATTGTGCCCCTTTTAGATGTAATCAGCCACAAATAATGCTTGTATATCACAGCACTAGTGTGTGTACTATGACGATATTCTCAGTCGTCGACAAAACGGAACTCTACACCAATGGAAATCGGGAGCGCAAGTGGTCTCGGTAAACTCGAAAAGGTTGTTGGGCGCCAGGTACCCTCCAAGGAGCACCACGAGCTCTAGGCTCGTTGTCGAAACAATAAAAATCGGGAGAGAGAATTGGTCCCGGGTAATCGATTGCCACCAGGCAAACTATACCTAATATGCCACCAGGCGAACTAAAACTAAAGATGCCACCAGGCGAACTAAAAGTAAAGATGGCACCAGGCGAACTAAATCTAAGGGCACCACGGCCCATAAAAGATACTAACCTACTAATCTAAAGGCACCAAGGCCACTCAAAACGGATAGGAGCACCACGGCCAAGAAAAAGAATATAAAACGTAACTAAACCTAAAGGTTACCTGGGACTCGAAAGATCGTACTAAATGCGACCACTATACGTCCCACGGTACGCCGCTTCGGAGGCTAGCTCGTCGGAAGCGTCGCGGCGTTCAAGAGGGAAGGAGGGAAAGAACTCAGCCAAGAACTTATAGGAAAGGGATACGGAAAACTACAAGAAAATAATTCGAATTAAATAGTTAACGCACCAGAGCTGTATTAAGCAGAGACAAAATCCAAACAATCGAGGAACTCAATAGTAAAGGTACAAAAGCAATAATTCTGGCATTACTGATAAGGCGAGCGAAAGCCAAGCATAGTTTCACAAAAGTCTTAAAATTAATTCACAAGGATCGGTATCCCAAAATTGGAAGCTATACAATGCAAACGAAATAAGAAGCACTACATAGAATTTCGAAACTTATAGGCGCATTATACTTCTCGGAAACTCACGGCCGACGGCGCTACGCGTGAGTGCGCACGCGATTAAGACGCGGGCACGCGGGCTCGATATTTCTAGAAACGGTAGGCGCGGAAGAGGATATGGTCGGAATAATCGAATTAGTCGAACTAAACTAACAAATTCTTTCTAAAATCAAATAATCAAATAACGATAATGAAAAAAATCGGAACTCAAGGAACGGCAGAGGAACGGCAGCGGAACGGACAGCGCGGTTCCAATTCTCGCACGCGCGAAATTATAACCGCGGTCGGCAACAGTAATACGAAAGAGTCACGCAAAAGAAATTATAACTACGAAGGAACCCAACACAGGATAATACACGCGGGTTCGCTAACACCAGTTCGAAAATCGCGGACACGAAAAGTAGCACAATAATTAGAAAAATCACAATAAATTAATACAAGATATGGCACAGGAAAAATATCACAGTCAGAAAAATATAGAATATTATAACGAGTATTTCATTATCGTTGCAGCGGAAAGACGTTCTCGGAACGGGTAGTACAAGTTTGAAATTGGCCGAAGGCGCGACGTCGAGAAACGTCAACAAGCAAAGTTGCCTCGGAGGGCGGCCAGCGCGCGACGTCGAAAGGACGTGTGCGATACGCAAAATTCACCAATGTTCCATCGAGAATATAAAGACGAAATTACAATGATTCATTATAACGTTCGGCAACGATAATCAGATACAGTACATCCTCAATAAATCACAGAAATCAGAACGGAAGATATCGCATACAAAAGTAGAAATATGAAATTCGGAATCACACTTCAGCAAAGGCCACGAAAGATTAGCAAAAACAAGAAAAGAATTTCGTTTAACTTATTTCACTTTGAAAGAGGAAAATAGGCGAAACACTACGATTCCGATTAAGTAAAGCAAAAACGGCGTGGGCTCGCCCCTAACTTTAACAGAACTTAGGGTTCGGAAGTCTCACAATACATTTGCAGAAAAGAGAACAATAATATGTCGGTAAACGATATCTTAGAATAATTGACAAAATGATACAATCGGCCGCGCGAGAATCTGGCTATAAAACAACTAAGCCGGTTAATCCGAGGTCAAACACTCTGGCAGACAAATTCCCACGTGCACACTAGGCGAAGATTCCAGAAATTCTGTAGTTACAAATGAATAGCAATCACAAACTTATTTAGGAAAAGCGCAAAATCGGAAACTCAAAAATATAAATAATAACGGCACTATCGTCCTTTATAGGATACTAGGCGGAAAGACATTCGCCCGATAACGGCAAGGAAACTTCGTCACCGGCTAAACGGACGGTTTAGCCGTGCACGTGTCTATAATCTTCAATACACAAAGATCAGAAAACTTTAAGGAAAGTGAAAGATCTCACCACAAAATAGAAAATTAAAGCATAACGCTTGGTCCAATAGACCCTCAAGGCAATATTCGTCTTTATCTCTTTCTCTCTCTCTTTCTCTCTCTAGCTCTCTTTGTTTCTCGATCTCCGATTTTTCCACACGTAGATTTGCTCTCAGATTTCGCACGACAATGAATTATCGATCACGATTGTCGCCACGCGGGCACATGAGGCGGGACGGCATCGGAACGGGACGAATGTTGACGAGGGTAGCCGAGCTCTCCCAAGCGTCGACGCGCAGCGGCGGAAACGGCCGAGAAGAGACGAACGGCGATCCTGACGGCACGGCCCTCGAAGTACTCTGGGCCTGGCGAGTAAGGAAGGTCGGCGGCTTCTCGGCCGGACGAAGGCGTTGACGTGGGCGATCAGCCTTAGGCGGGCCAGGGAGGAAAGCCTCGTCTCCCTGCTGACCGTATCGGCGGTGAATAGGCCCAGAGGGCAGCCCTCGCCGGCCGACGGAAACGGCGGAGTCCCCTCCCGGGTGCTCCAGGGCTTCTTTGGCGTCATGGCAGCAGCAGGATCCCAGCGACATCCCGGTCGACGGAACCGGCGGGCATCTCTTGGTCGGTGGGAGCGGCGCGCTGATCTCTCCAAGGTTGTCCTTTACGTCAAAAGTCTCAAAATCGGCATCAACAGCCAAACGGAATCGCCATAAAATACTCTAAAATCTCCAATGTGGCTGTCCTGTCCTCACGCCCTTATGTCGTAGTCGACAGACTCGAGAGTCGAGATGGAGTATATCGTAACAAAAACAAAAGATTAATTAGTCTTAGAAAACGTAATCGGAACTGATATCAAGAACGATAGTAGACGTACACAAACGGAGAACTTAAGAGTAATGTCGCAGACGGAATTTCGCTAGTGGATTGTCGTGCGGAGCCTAGGTTGAGCGGACAAGAAAATTTATTAATTTTTGTGGCGCGATTCGGGAGAATCACGTCACAGTACACAGACATGCGAGTGGAATGCCTCTGTTGATCGTGAGAGGTATCGATACAAATCCCGAAGTTCAGGCATGCTTTCAGAACCCAAAGATCGGCCTCCTTACAGTCTATTCTTCATGCTTGGGAAGTTTGACGAGAAAGTTCGCGATCGACAAAGAAAATACTGTAGATGTCACTGGTAAAACCAGGCGAACGTCATATTTTAATTGAAAACATTGAACCTCAATCAGGTGAGAAAGGCAGCACGCAGCAAATAGGTCCGACGATGGTAGCAGTGAGCATTATTTGCGAGATGCCTCATGTTCCAGATCGGCAAATACAATATCAAACAGAAACATCGATTTCAACGAACGAATTTGAGAAAGAGAACGGTGAATGTTGCCCACGAGATGCATCACGTTCTAGTCTCATTAAATGCGTCGGTAAAACAGATAGTTGACGGTGGAAAAAAAATCCTAGCAGAGTTTAATTAATCAACGTATCCATCCATGTAAAGCCGGTCAAGATGGTCCTGATATTCACATGGCAAGATCAGAATCCCGAAGAAAAATACGGGCTGCGGAAAGTTGAAAAGCGTGTTCACCGAAAAAATATCCAACAATAGGTAATTGCCCTTTCAGTAAAACATAAATGCTTATGGGAAGAACCCTATTAATTGGGTAAAAAAAATAAATTTTTTTTGCATTTTCTTAGAAACGTATATTTCAAGAACAGCTGATTTCAGCTGATCAATTAAAAAACCGGGAGGACAGTCTGCCAAATGGGGTTTACTTGGTATCCCCGATCCTTATTAAGGTTATTTGGATGTTTCAATATCTCTAGACCGTCGCGGTGTTTTCGGGTGAAGTAACCCTTACTAGCTAGCATTTCTGTCGTCTCTCTTGTGCTCATCCCATGATCAGCTGGGGCAGATTGAGAAAAATTACCGTATTTGGTACACCGTTGATATTCTTTGACCCGAGTACTGATCTTCTTCCCGATGTCACCTATGTACATTTTTCCACAGGAGCAGGGAAGTGAGTTTAGGTTTTTTTTTTAACTGATCAGCTAAACAACTTGTGATCGGCTGAAGCACTGATCCGCATGAGCAATCATAGGTGTAATAAGACTTCCTGACAAGAGGGAGCTTCAGTATCGGAACCTCCTAGCCCTGATGATGCAAATTGAAATGTTTGCGAAACGTCGGCACAAAGCTGAACACAGACGCGGCTTCCATCCGAAAATCATGAGTATTAATGATAATATTGGTCACGAAAGCCTAAAATCTCAAACTCATACAATAACATATTTAATACAATAAGATCAGTAGTTGAAACAGAAAGGTTAAAAAGTCGTCAAGATATAAAATCACGGTGAAATAATATAACAATGAAAAATACAGAAAATAATGAGAATTAATATACGACTCGAAATCGCGTGGTAGACACTCGGGTTGGCTTCTATTTGTAATGAAAGTTACGCTACCCTAGGTAGCTGATTCACCATATGCCCACTGGCTCCTATCCTCGCGAATTTCAGAAGTCACTAAGACTCAGGTATCCGCGACGGGATTTATGCTATTCCAGGTAGCCATTCTTATTACAGCCCCTACGAGGAATTCCTACACACCGCGATTCAGTGAACCAAAGAAAGTTACGTTACACTCACGGAAATATCCGGTCAAGTATACTAAATTAAAAATCAATAAACGCATAAAATAAAAGAGAACTAACGGACGATTCAAAACAGGCTCTTCGCCATAATCGGGGAAACCACCACTATTAAAAACTCACACTTCACTCGTGGACTAGTATGTATAAATTATTAACTCGGCGGCGAATCTCTTCGATGGATGCTTGTGCATCCATCCATTTCGGTTGGCTTGTTTCTGAAATAGTGAAAAATGCGTCCACTTGGTAGGAAGGTTCACAAAGAAAGAGGATGATTCCGGTACCCGAGTCTTTAACTGCCTATTATAATTGGTCAATTACTCATCGCGTTTACTTCCGCCAATTCTAGGTGCTTATTGATCATAGGTCACCAGGATCTAGGATTATGAACCCTATCAGGTAGCTTAAACGTTGGAGCAGTTGCGAGCGCATCCTCCGCGCAAGCCTCTCAGTAATATTAATTCGCTAGCGCTCCGACGTAGGGCGGTACTGGCGTCTTCTGCGCTATCATGCCGCCATCCGCATATTGTTATTGTGAGGCTTTGAAGATGTGTTCACCGCGAAGTGTATTTCGTGTTCCAGGATGGGGATGTTCCGGGATGGTGTCCTGTTACTGCGAATTTCTGTAGTTAACAGGAGTTTACCCGTGCAGGTAATCTGGCTGACTGACGGCCACCAGTAATGTATGCAGCTTTCCTGTAGGTTGGTGGGCCATTTCCTCTGCTCCGTATTTTGTATTTGGATGTTTCTCTGAATGACAGCTTCTTGTGCCTTGCAGGTCCCTGACCGGCGTCTTGCTACACGTCTTCGGAGGAAGCCCTATCGCGCCCACGGGACATAAGATTTTCCTAGGATGGGAGACAAGCTGACCCTTTACCCGGGTATTTCGAGGATTCTTCCCGGCAGAAGCAGGTTCACCTGCAAGTAGTCCGGACTCGCATCCCGATGTCAGTTAGCAGGAGCACATCGGTAGAGGCAGCAGGAGTTTCTTGGCGTGCGGACAGGTAAGACAATAACCCCTTCACAGGCATTCCTGGTGCTGGTGGCGGCTGGGATATTGGCGATGAGAGTTGAGTCGTTTGACTTTGGCGGGCTCCAGCAGTGGTGGCTTGGTCGAACGGTCCGTATAACAACCCGATGGGGCCGATAATGTCATCCCACGCAGTCATAGCCATCTTCATAGTTCTCCGTGTCGATGAGTATACGCTCATTTGTAGGTACAAGTTAAAATTAAACATAATTAATTTACAGATCTTATTTTTCTCGGTGATCTCCCGACCTTCGCCAGTGGACGCCTATTTCATAGCGGGCTGTAAATTCAGCCCGTACTCCAACTTCCTTCGACAATAACCTTATGACGTGCATTACCGAAAATGCCACGTCACAGTCTATAAATATGGTACGTTCTGCAAAATTATTTTGAAAATGTAATTCTTTTATCTATGTTAAGATTTAGAAAAAAAAACTTGATTTTTAAATCATTGTACCAAATGTTATATTGAAATATTTTATATTACAATATATCAAAAAAGTGTATGTCTGTTGACTTCTGCCATTAGACTATGCGTTTCACAAGCACGAGCTCAAATGTTATATCTAAGCATTGCTAGAATATTTACAAGTTTCGCACACACATTGAACCGGTTCGAATTCTTTTACGGTCCATTATATTCACAGTAAATAAACACACAAATTCTGTTCTGGACATTGATGAGGCCCAATCAAAGAATCTGTCACTATAACAAGGAATTATCTGAACTGAACTTACAATTAGATTATTAACTCTTGGAGTACTAGCGAGTGCCTAGTTTCAGCCCCTTTCGGTTTCCATGCCACGGAAAAAGCCAATCACGATGTTGTATAGTGATTGGACGTATTCGTGCGCGCGAAGCTGGGTCCTAGCTAACTAGGTTTCCGTTATTAGAGGTGCCTTGTTTCAACCCGGCCGGGGCCTTTTCTTTATTGGGGAATTCATATAGGAAGAATGAATTTAAGATCTGTCATAGGTCACTTGATAATCATCCGCAGGTCTGCGATTGATCTGTCCTATACTTATGTCATTTGTCCGTTCACCTAGGAAGTCAAAAGGGCTGCAATTTAGTGTGTATGTTCTGGGATTAAATAAAGCAATACTATTCTTTGTAATTCTTTCCTGGATCATTTTCCGGACTTATGTATTTTGGGAGCATCCAGGATTCGACAACTATCATGCACACCGAAAGAATTGTAAAAGCCATGTATCCCTGTATTCCAACCCCAGAACGTCCTCACCAAATTGCAGCCCTCTCTCATTTCCGACGTGCAAGTTACAAGATAGTTATTAAATTTGCCTTGCACGATATTTACGTTAAAAAAAAAGATATTTTCTTCGCAGCTTACACGAGATACATGCACAAGGAATTTCAGACGTGTAATCTTGCTCGTCTCAATTTGTGGAAAGTATCTGCATAAGCCGCGTACAACGTTAGAATACATCAGCGTGTATCTCGGAAACCCATATACACCGAAAAACAATCACAAGGGTAGAAAACTAAGAGATCAGAGGTACCTACGTTTCTGCTGGATTATACTGCAATTCTATATATTTTAGAAAAATCGAATTTTGCAAACATTGTGCTAGAATTAAATTTAAAATATACACTACCGCTCATTAATTCTAATACATCTATTGTAACGTTTATCGGTAGTAGAATTTCGTATGCTCCTTATGAGCTCCCTTGAGGATGCGCCTGTTTTAGTAAGGTAGCCTTAGGTAGACTTAGGCGCTCTGCCTAACTATTGGCTATGGCACTACGTGAAAATTGACAAATCACAGTGAGGATAATAGATCAAACTCAATATGGCGTCAACTAAAGTTTCTAAGGTATATCGCAGTGCTCTCCTCAGAACTTTGACAATTTTTCTCTACGTAACGGGCTCGGTGGAATAGTGAGCGATAATATGGGGCCTTTGACTAAATTCTTAGCAATGATTTTATGCAATTACTATGCTCCATCCTAGAGGGCATAAATCGAGCGTAAACACTTTTTAATTATTTCAATGTTTTTATGTTTTGTCATATGAATTGTATTCATATTTTTTTCCCGTGGATTGACTTTCGGGACATATTTTTCATCTATCGACTATTGTTGACACTATCCGCCCGTCCTTATTGTTTGTTTGCAACGAGTGCGCTCTCAGTACAAGAGTACTGAGAGGTTGGTTTATTTGTAACGTTACACTAACGAATCTGACAAACATGGAGATGCTTTGAAAATAACGAGCAGTAGTTTAATGGAGTTTAAAGTTTATTGGACATATTATTTTGGACTTATTTACCTCGAGGAGTGTGACGAAAGTCTCTGCGTTACTAAAATTTTTACGCCAGAGTTTCTCCAATGCTCTTTCACGCGTGTAACGATCTGGAATGTTTAAAAACACTTGGCTGAGAATACATAATCGACTACTTACATGGAATGTGTATGTATTAAATGCAATGGTGGACAGTATAATTAAATTAAAAAAAAAAAACAGTTTTTTTATGGACAGAGCACTAATCGTACATCTATAAATCATATACGTTACATGTCCTACACGTATCATCGTATATGTACACTGCGGGACATTAATGTCGTCCTTGGGTGGAGCTAGTAGGAAGTGTGAATGGGGCGATCGGCAGTAATGACTGGTGGCGAGCAAGCCAGGCCGACGCGTAGCGAGGGTAGCCTATTCCCCTCGCTCGGGACGGCATGTCTGTCCAGAGTTCAGGCATCCCGCATAAGAGTCTCACAGAATTTCAACATGAGTCCGCATAAACCCCTCTCACTCGCAGTTAGTGGAGTTCCAGAGATAGCCTGCACTGCGTATAAGAACGTCTCACTTGCATCTAGCGCTAGTCGCCTATAAGACCCTCTCACTCGCTGCCAGCGGTGGCCTAGCGCGTATAAGAGTGTCTCACTTGCATCACCATCTGCACGCGCTGAACAACTGTTGGCAGCGAGTGAGAGGGTCTTATGAGCGACTCGCGCTGGAAGCTAGTGATCTATTACTATCTATTTGTTCCATGCCTTGCTCAGTTCTTTTTGATTTGCATACAATCTTTCTATAGCAGTGGTGTGACTTCTTGTTATTTCCTGTAATATGGTCTTTTATTTCGTAAGACCTGTATTTAAGCGTAGCTCATTTCTCTTAAGTAGTTCCATTTCCTCGTGTACGGTCTCTTTGTCCTCGCTATCCATGGTACCGAATAACCATTTAGCTGCTTTGCCTATCGCATTAATGGCTCCTCTCTTGGTACGAGGTTCTTCTTCGAAATTGTGCAGGAGTTCCTTTACGTCGTCGATTTCCCTTATAATTTGTTTCGTTACTCTGTAGTAAGACTTATATTGGCTCTTGTTGTTCTCTCTTCTGTGAATGACCTCTACTTGCCGTTCTATGTCATTCATAGCTTCCTTATAAATTTCCAGATTGACGCCATATTGGAATGTATGCTTTCCTTCTATCATCTTAGTGTTGCCCAATCTCATGGGTAGAAGGCTGTATCGGTGTTATCTCTATTCCCATCGTGAGGTGTATCATTATCAGCAGTAGGATCGTCATTTTGCTTGTCTGAAACGAACCGTTGAGGCTTCGTCAATCTGGGGTGTATAGTGATCTTGCCTAAATTGACTTTATGAGATCTAATCACTTTGGGTTTCTCCTTTGTCGTTTTGTACAGAGGTTCTTGTTTCTTACTGGATATACGATACAGGTGTCACTTGTAGTACAGAGGCTTGTCCGTGTCTATCGGTACATGTTCCTTCCTATTCTCATTCAGACGTTCTAGTATCCTTTCCTCTTTTGTTGCGAGCCTGTCGAGTATCTGAGTCTTTATAATTTCCATTCTTTTCTGGTGTTTTTCTAGATACTGTGTGGTAGCACTGGCTTCTGTGGTCTCCTAAGGGTATTTCGAATTGACGTCACCTTTAATTAGTTGGAAGGGTGTATATCCTGTTGCTGTATGAATAGAGTTGTTATATCCTAATATAGCGTATCTCATTGCTTCTGCAGTTGATACTTTGCTATCTTCAGTTTTTAAAGCTCTAAGGGTTTCTATTATCATGGAGTGAAATCTTTCAACCGGACTATTACTGTTACAGTTATAAGCCGTCGTATAGTGTATTTCTATACCATGGTATATACCAAATTTTTGAAAGGTTTCGTTTTTCCATTCCACTCCGTTATCGCAGGTTATCTTTGTAGGTATACCAAACTGGCTTATAAATTGTAGAACATTTTTCGTGGTTTCTATACCTCTTATAGCTTGCGTGTGGTATGCTTGCCCATACTCAGAGAAAGTGTCCACAATGGTTATGAAATATTCGCTACCTATCTTGAAGGTGTCAGCATATAGATGTTCGCAGATATTTGTCCCTAAAGCTGTAGGCTTACATACGAGCTCATGGGGTCTTCGTTCGTACTTGCTTTTTTGACATACTTCGCAGGTGTTTACACAGTCTGTAATCATTTCATCCATTTTTGGCCAGTAATGTTTGCTTTTTATAGCTTGTATGTTTTCCGTGATCCCTGTATGATAGATTTTCTTTACATGCTGGTAAACTATCATTTCCATTTGTTGGTCTGTATCTATGATGTCTTGCAAGAATCCAATACAGATACAGTACAACTGTAACGCTCCGTTCTTAAAGTAATTTTGAGCTGTGGTGATCAGTACTAGCTGTTGATTCTTGTCTTTGAAATAGAAATAATATTTTTCTTTAGGATTCACATATTCTTTTATAAATTTGATCCAATGGTCTTCCGTTGCCTTTTCCGGGATGTTTAATCTCATGCAGCTGTTTTCAAATACCTTGATCTTTGAGACCTTTATATCGTTTCGTGAGACCGTAACAGTTATTTGATTTTTATAAAGATTTACTGGTTTTTCGATGATCGGTATCCCGAATATAGGATCTTCATGACTCGTATATATGGTGTTCGTGTCGTCCTCATGAATTCCCTGTTCCCTGTTAAATTCTTCCAGTATCAGGTCGGCCTCGTTTCCTGATATTGATAATATCTCTTCAGGCAATTCTTTGAGTAATTGCGTGATTTCTAAATCATCTGGAGGATTTGCCTTGGTTGATTCGCTATCGATAGGATTTATTTCAATTCGCGATAAAGCATCGGCGTTAGTGTTAAGTTTTCCTTTTTTAACGAGTTTAGAATTAGGTTCTTTCAAAGAGAATAGCCATTTCAGTGGTTTGTGGTTAGTAATGATTTTAATGTTTCTTCCATATAGATACGGTCGGAAGATTTTGGTTGCCCAGACAATGGCCAGTAACTCCTTCTCGATAGTGTTATAATTTATTTCCGCTGGGTTGAGTGTTCTCGACGCATATGCCACAGAAAGATCTTTTCCTATCGTTCCTTGTGAGAGTATTACTCCAACAGCAACGTTAGATGCATCGGTCGTTAAACTGAATGGTTTGTCAAAGTCTGAATACTGCAGTATAGGCTCTTCCATTAAGGCATTCTTGCATGTTTCAAAACTTTCCACAAATTCTTTTGTATGCTCAACCTTTTCTCCCTTTTTCAGACATTTCGTCATTGGTTTGGTGATTCTAGCAAAGTTCTTAATGAATTTTCTATAGTAGCCTGTTAAGCCTAAGAACGATTTGATTTCTTCAGCCGTCTGTGGTATAGGAAAATTCTTTATTGCTTGTAATTTTCATGGATTTGGTTTGATTCCCTCCGTCGTAACTATGTGTCCTAAAAATTCGACTGTCTTATGCAAGAATTCACATTTATCCGGTTGTATCTTCATACCGGCGCCTCTGAGTCTGTCGAGGACTGATCTGAGGTTGAAGAGACTCGGTCGAGTCTCGCGCCAAGTACAGGCAACCGGCTGTACAGGGCGCAGCGCGCCGAGACTCTTTACTCGAGTCAACTCCTTATACCTGTGTTTGGAACGAAATATCTTATGAACCGTTATACATGAGGAAAAGTTATTGATACATTCACTATAGGAATTGAAGGTTCTGAAGTGATTGCAACCAAGTTCAATACGATTAGTGTACGAGATCAGGGCGTATTGAAATGGCGAGCGAGATGATTTTATTTCAGTTCCGTCGTCGTCGTCGTCGTCATCGTCGTCGTCTTCGCACGTCCATCGCATTTTTTACACGACAGATGGCGCTGACTGCTTTGCCTTCTTTACCTATTTGTACTCTGGATGGTGTTGGTAATTTACGAATACACAACACAATCAAATACACTTTGTACGTGAAGCTACCGTTCACACCGAATTTCCAGTTGACATAAGGCTGCTTTCACAATAGTATAGAATCATTAAGGCTTTCATGTGGAGCGCGTGTGTATGCGTGTACGTCTGTGTGTATGTGTGTGCTTTAACATAGTTCCTCGTATTTTAGGTGACAATTTTTAGAGATATGGGATTTCCAGATGCTCCTTTCCGTAGTTTTCTGTAACTAGGTGTCGGATGTGGAAGTTCAGGGTGTCCAGGTGTTCCGCTTCGTAGTTTCTTGTATCTAGGTGTCGGGCGTGGAAGTCCAGGGCGTCTAGGTGTTCTGCTCCGTAGTTTTTTCCATCTAGGTGTTAAATGTGAAAGTTCAGAGTGCTCAGGTGTTCCTCTCCGTAGTTTCTCGTATCTAGATATCGGATATCCAGGGTGTTCAAGTGTTACGCTTCGTAGTTTCTTGTATCTAGATGTTAGATGTGGAAGTTCAGAGTGTTCAAGTGTCCCTCTGCATAGTTTTCTGTGTTTAGGTTTCCTGTTCTGAACCGATCGGCACCAAGATCTATACAATTGCTGTACGAGATCAAGGCATATTGAAATAGCAAAGGAGATGATTTTAATTCAGTTCAGTCATTGTCGTC